GGCCTGGCGGAACGAGGACGACTGCACCTGGTATTGCCGGGCTCCCCAGGGACCCTCGCCTGCGACGCCCCGGGGGAGGGCGAGGGCTGGAAGGGAGAAGGGGACCTCAGCCAGCGCCCCAGGCCGCGGTGCCTGGCAGGTGCGGAGCCGGGCGATGTGCGGAGGCTATTCACCAGGGTGGAAACCTGTTTTCTAATAGCTCAGGCTGACCCATGTGGGGATGGACTGGTCCCCTCCATCTCCTTGTGTTGTGTGCTCTTTGCTCATTATTGGGTCCCGAGCTCCTCGTGAACATTAACTGCAAAATCATGCTGTCTTGTCTTTTTGTTACTCAAACCTGCTCTTTTTCTGTCTTTTTTGGGAGTGACGGGGGATGGGTAGCAGTTGACGTCTGTCTGCGGCTGTTACTGTTCTTTTCTCCCAAACCAGGGCTGGACAGGATTTGCGTGCTGGCCCTCCTCCCGTAGCACCCCAAGCCGCCCAGCGATGAGTCTCTCCGTAAGAGATTCGTTCTCGCTGTTTGAATTGTGCAGACGTATGTCCTCATTCGCTGCATCTTCTTTGCTAGCTTCTCGTCTTAGGGACAAACTTGCTTTTTCCAATGTGGTGACCTCACTGTTTTTCCCATCAGTAATCATGTGAAAAATGAGGGCTTTTCGGAGAATGGACATTGTGAGCAGCTTGAAGGCGCTCTGTTACCTAGGAACCAAGGAACTTGTTTTAATTTTAAAAATTAAATTGATTGAAGAAAAATGAGATTAGAAAAACTTATTTTTTAGAAGCTTTAAGCTGGTTATCAGAAAACTTGAGTCTGGTAGCATTTATTCAGTTGAAATCTGGTTAGCTCAGTCTACTTTTCATCAGTGAGTACCTTGTGGGGGAGAGGGTTCGAATTCCTTTATTTTTAAGAGTACTTTCTCATGGAGTAGTAGTCACTTCGTGACTTTTTTTGGTTGGTTTGTATGTTTTCCTCAGTCGCTAGAGGTGGTGTGATGTGCTCAAGTGAAGCAGAAGCTTCAGATTAGGTGGAATTTAGGTTGAAGCAAAGGGAATGAATAGCATTCACTTCTGCAGCGCAGTGGCATGAAAAACAGTTGTCCTGCTTTTTTCTTTGAATCGTCAGTCCTCTTATTTAGGACCCGTCCTGTTCCCAAAGCAGGGTTTTCCCTCACTTTCCTTGTGTCTCTATTGCATGATTGCACAGGAGGGAATGGGAGATGGGGAACCTGGCTGGTTTCCCACTGGGACTGCGTTGTTCTTTTCCCTTGCACTCTTCTGTGTTGAGAAGTCTGTGAAGTACACTAATTAGTTTGATTTTGAGGCTCAAAGTGTGTGGAGCTACAATAAGTCATAGTCCTCTCCCTCCGAAATACTTTTCGGCAACTGTGCCGGTAGCTCAGGTTGTAAAAATTGAAACAAGTCACCGCTTTCTGGAACTTTAAGCCATTCTTTAGAAGCTATACTTTTTATTTTTGTAAAGCCCAGGCTGTATGGTAATCTCAGATTCAGCCCTGAATATGGTACCGGCAAATGCTCTCAAGATGGTTCTTAGGTTGCTACTAATAACATAATCCCTTATACCACTTTCAGATTATTTTAGGTTAATGTAGGCCCTGCTTGGCCTTTTCTGGAGATAATGTATTTAAATAATAGAAGGAAACTTGCTGTGTTTTTGATGGAGATCAATCCTGTGCTTTAAAAAATTAACATTTTAAAATTGACTATGCTACACTTACTATTTTATAAGTGTATTAGGTCGGTGCTAGTACATACATAGCTAATAGAATTGTAATATTTTCTTCCATTGAATGGACTGTTACCATATTTAGTTATCATCTAGCTATTGCTAGTATTTTGATATTTAGGCTTTCCTTTTGTAGTTATTTTTTGTCAAAACAGCATTAAAATACAATCACCTACTATTAGCCTGTTAGCACTTCAGATGGTTTGAAGCAGAATCTGAATTGTAACAGGTTGTACTAATTTCACTCGTCAAGTATACAGGTGAATGAATAAATAAATGCCATGACACTTCATAAATGTTTCTTCAGACAAATGGTACTCTGTTTATAGAATCTTCTTCAAAACAAACCCAGGGTTAGAATCCCAGGTGGAAAAACAGGGATGGATCGTTAATCTTAGCAGGATGGACTTAAATATATATATATTTTAAGGTCAACTGATATTATAGTAAACTTTCAGAGCATTTTTGTCCATTACAGTACTTTTGTATTGTAGTATTTGGCCTATTGATGAACAGTCGCCAGAGTTTAATTTTGAAAGCTTAACCCACTTGTTAATGCTTGCAGCACCCTGTGGTGTTCCTTCATCACTGCAACCACGTGGCTCTGCCCTGTGGTCTCACAGATGGAGTGCTTTTCATTTGGATTCCCTAATATGTTTGCAGGAAGGCAACTTAGTCTTATTTCCCTGTTGAGAAACAACTGTAGTGGATAGCTATGTGCCTGATTATTTAAAAAAATATTTTAGAATAAGCTTTATATTTTCATTGAAAAGATAAAACACAGAAGTGAACGAAAAGTCAAAAAAGTCTTTCCTCTTGACCTCAGTTTACTACTGACTCAGAGTTAATCCTGTTAACCTTCTGTAGTTGCTTCAAGGTAGAAGCATAGTTATACAAATCGGTAGGCAAATATATACACATCAGTTTTTTTACACTTCCCTTGCATTGAACATATCTTGGACATCTTTGTCTAACTGTAACAATTGTAGCATTGTTAAAGTAACAGTATTAAAGACCAATTACTATTAAAAGTATCACCTACAAGTTTTCAGAAACTTCAATCATTTCCTCATAATGGGTTAAGTAAAATTGATAATTGATAATTTAGAGTATTAATTTCCTGCTAATATGTCATATCTTTAGGAAATAAAGTTCACAAATGTAGGTTAATCACCAAACATTTTAAAAGTTCTTTCATGTAAGTCTGTTTTTTCTAATAAGGTCTAGCATATAACTCTTCACCTTCAATTGCAATCTGGACAACACTTGGCTCGAAAATTACATGTAGAAAGAAAACAGTGACTACTATAATATTTGCTTGATAGTTTATTAGTTAATGAACAATTATTTATCCTATTTTTATCCTATAACTATCTCCTGTGTATTAAAAAATGAAAAAACTTTGTAAGAAGAATGAAGTGTGAAACAAAATAGTTGCCTTACTTCTTCAAATATTTATCTTCGTTGAATTTAAAGTATTTAATTTTGCCTTAATACAGTCTGGTTATCTTAGCACAGTGCTGCTAGAATTAAATATCTAGGAAATTAAAGTTGATTGTGGCTTCAGAGCCTTAATTCTCAAGTCCAGTTATCATAATGCCATAGTAAACATCACATACTGCTATAGTGATTCTTCAATTGTCTTACTGCTAATTTGGCAGTTTAGCTCTCCAGGAGACCATAGGCTAGAAAGTAGAGGGGAGAAACTGACTATCAGCACCGACTTAAAAGCTAAAAAAGCCTGAAGTCTTGATGCATACACGGGACATGGTGTGACTGATGACTTGCCAGTCTGTACAGAAGGATGTTTTTAAAGGTCTCTGTCCCTGTGTCACCAGGCTGAGGAGCAGTGGGCTGAGAAGTACCGGGGAACAAGGAGAGGGAATCAGATTGGTATGCAGTGGCAGTGGGAGCAGTAAATCATTACCTGCATGCGAGACCTTTCTGTGACCTGTTTCAGTCTCTTTTTTTCTGTGTGAAGGGACTGAAGCTCCAAGGAGCAAAGGATCTCCTCCAGTTATTTCCTGAAAGAACTGACTAAAATTCAGATTACTTATATGGATTCAGAAGTGTTTGCAGCACTAATACTTTCCCCCCAAGCGTGGTTATGACCCATCAGTGGGTTATATAGTCAGTTTAGTGGACTGACCAGGATTATCTTTTTAATGCAGTGCAGTAGGATAAAAATCAGAATCAGAGTGCATTGTGTCTTATAGTACAAACTTGTCTTGGTTAAACTTTTTTCAGTTTTTATGTGTATATGTCCTGGATCGAAATAGTAAATGCATTTGTGCATTATGGCTAAGTTTGGAATAACTTCTATTTGTAATGTTTGAAAGCAAAATGGACTTGAAGAAAACAGGTGGAAGCGCCCAGCTCCCTGAAGATAGTGTAGCGTGGGGGAAGTCAGGACCTGCACACCTCAACCAGGAAGACAAGTATGTATTCAGAAAATGCCAAGATTAAAATATGCCAGCTGACACAAAATACAGCCATATAAGGAGGCATTTAATTTAGTGGAGCGGCAATTAGCAGAATATTGAGACTTAAGTGAAAGGGATGTGGCAGTGATTTTTAACTTGCCGAACTGGAAAGAACAGGAGAAAAGTTCTTGATTATACAAGGGGGAAATGGTGGTATATACAAATTAAGGAAAATTTAATGAATGAGATATTCATCTTCCACGTGTAACACCAAGACCCTGGACAGCTGGCTAAAATCATTGCCAATTCTTCATCAAAGGTGTTGAACACCTTGTACTGTACATATGGCACAGCTAAATTAGACCACCTGAATGGTTTTTTTTTTTTTTCATAATTGATTCTCAGTGAAAAGACCAGAGGGTGCTTCACTTTCTGACAATGGTAATTGAAAATGCATGGTGTTTTTCCAGGAGCTAGTGGAGTTGACTGAAGTATGTGCTGATGTGTGTTTTAAAATGAGTAACTTTAAAACACTGCAGTGAGACATTGAAATAGATTTAAGATGTAAATGTGGGGCGGTGGCTGTGGGAGAATGTGCTGTAGGACCCGTTCAATAACTAAAATTTAGACTTAATGTATCCTTTTAAGTAGCTCGGTGGGTATATTCCTTCCGCAGCGGCTGACTGGTTTGACCCACCAGCAGGTGCTAGTGAATCTATGCTCTTGAAGCTGACTAAAGATGAACTGATTGTGCTTATCAGTGCTGGTGTTTTATCTTTACTTAAAATAAAACTTTTGGTGATTGAAGCCTCTTGAAAGGACTTGTCTGAAAATGGACACATAGCTTTTCAGTGATGAGTCTA